TTCCGCCTCAGCCTTCCGAGTAGCTGGAATTACAGGCGCGCGCTACCACACCCGGCTAATTTTTTGATTTATGGTAGAGACGAGGTCTCACCAAGTTGCCCAGGCATGTCTCGAACCCGCGGGCTCAATCCACTCACCTCAGCCTCCCAAAGCGCGGGATTACAGGCTGAGCCACCAAGCCCGGCTGGCAATTCTTTATTCTTCTGTTTCCCCTGCTATGCGGCTCCCCAAAGGCAGGATAACCTATTCACTTGCTTGTTCCAGAAATCTCTAATGAGGGGCGGGCCCTACATCAGGGGCTCCCTGACACAGGGAGCTTGTCTTCATTACGTGTCTCTAGTCCCCGCCTGAGGCTCAGTGGAGTCAACAATGGTTCCCCAGGACATGGGGCATACTAGCAGATGATTCCACAGGTCCCTGGGGGAGTGGTGGGGAGGTATGCAGATCCCCGCCAGGTCCTCTAAAATACACATGGAGGTGAGAAGAGGCCTCACCCTGACAAGGCTGCAGGCCGCCCATGCAGTTGTGGCCAGACCAAGGAAGAGTCCCAGGGACAAACAGACCTAAGAATTAGTCTCAGAGTAGCAGTGTGAAGAAGGTCTGAGCCAGGGTCTGCTGTTGGCTGCTGTCAGACCCATCCTGTCTCCCTGGACCCCATTAGTAAGCTCAGGGGCTGCATGATCTCTTAGGATCCTCACAACCATGCTCCTGGGGGACCTGGGAGAGGGCCCCCAGCCTGGCCATCCCCAAGGCCGTGGCTTCTGCAGCTCCAGTCAGACAGAAGGCCAGAAAAACAAGAGACGGGACTCTGCCACATCTGGAGCAGTGCCCCTCACCTGTTTCTGGGTACAGGCCTGGGACTGAGCAAAGGAAAATGTCTAAGAACACACAGTAGCCTGCACTCACCAAGTGCTACTTGGGAAAGGTGCCGGGTTTTGGCTGGAGTCAGAAGTCCCGGCCAGGCCTTGCCAGACTTGCCGTGGTGACCTCAGACAAAGCCAGCTGCAATCTGGGCTCCCAGCACCTCTGTAAATGCTGCGTCCAGGACAGCTCCGGTGTCACAGCTTCAGCTTTTCTTCCCCACCCTCATCCTGGCGCAGGCACCTTCTAGCTCCTAATGCAGAGGCCACCCAGGTATGTGCTCTTTGTCATTTCCCTACCCCCACCGGGCTGGGTGGGTTTGGAGTTGTCTTACCCCTCTCGGAATACCTAGGACCTATCAGAAAGCGGCCTAGCTCTCGGGACGAACGGCCATGCATGATTAGGTCCATGAAAACACTAGCAGCGGGCCCATCCTCCCGACTCGAGCCGGCCGTGAGGAGCCCCAGCTCTCAAGGGCTGGTCAGGCGCCCATTGGCTGGGCTCGCTTCCCCTCCTCGTCCTGCCCCGCTTCCAGAGGGGCTGCCCCCGCCAACGCCGTTCCCTGGGCTCACTTGCCAACTGGTTCCTGATTTATCTGGCCAGCGGGGGATGCTGGCGGTGGAAGCCAGGGCTCTTCTCCCCTCCCTGGTGCTCCAGGGGATGTCGCTGCCAGTATCGGTGTCCTTCTCATTATTCTGTCCTGCCAGCGGACATTCCCGTCAAGGTCCCAGCTCCTGAGCCCAGCAACATTGCTTCCTCCCTGGGGGCGATAGCGGCTCATCTCAGGGCTGCCGCCTTCGCAACTCACCCCCGACATCAGACTCCCACTCTTGACTCGCTGGTCACGGGTCGCTGGTCTGACCCGATCCTGTTGCATCTCCCCTTTGCCACCAGCCCACGATCGCCTCCACCCGAATCTCAGTGTGCTCCGTCTTCCCCAGCCAGACCCCAAATGAACCACACGTGCCACAGCAGGTCGGAGGCCATTTCTTTATTCAAAGATAACCAGCACCATGGGTCCCTCAACATGCTGCTGCGGTTCCCATGGGCCCATCTCACCACTTCCAGGGCAGAGGAGTCTGCGTGGGGTGACTGCGGCAGGGAGATACACTACACGTCAGCTGGGAGTTCCCAAAGGGCAGAGACACACACGGTCACTATCACCAAGAGCACAGCACACAATGACAGAAGGAATGGTGGAACTGGAAATAGCCACTGGCAGCCACTGCCAACCACTGCGCTCTTCCCTCGTGTGTTCCTTGGGAGAAGACCTGGAGTAAGCACCCCAGCTGTGCCGCTGCAGTCACACGACGTCTCACTATCTGCATCTGTAAACTGGGAACAATAAACTGCACTCCTCAAAGCTGCCACGTGCACAAATGAGATTAAAATAGGGACACTGATCAAAGTACTCAACACAGAGCCTGGCACATAGAGGTGTTCAATAAATAATTTGTTAGGAAATCTTAACTCAGAGGGGACCTTCTTCAGAAGGCCAAGGAGGGAGATGACCTCCCTAGAAAGCATCTCAGGGCATGGGGGCCTTCGAGGGTTCCTTAGAGCCTGCAGCCCCTGGAGTGCCCAGAGCCCCAGAATACACTGTGCCAGGGCCGCTGGCAGGGGCGGGGTGCTGGGCCCCCAGGGAGCTACCCCCAGAAGCTGGGCTGGCATTGGATGAGCCAGGGTTTGGACCCAAATGGCCCTGCACGTAACACAGGCCGGAGGCAGGCTGGTAGGGAGGCAGGTTGGGCACGTGTCCAGGAGCGCCGGCGGGCCAGGAGGCTAGTCTTTGACCCCCGGCATGCATCTGGGTCACAGGGTAGTTTGTGGACAGGTGAGGGTGGCAGCTCTGTGTGGGGTAGGAGCCAGGCACAGGGTTCAGCCTGGAACGGAACAAGAGACAAAATGATCATTCAGCTAATAATGCCAAGTGCCTTGTCATTCCATACAAGAAATGCACGGGCTTGTCATCCTGCCTTGCATATTTTCTGTGACTAGCTCTAAATACCAAGTGAGGATAAAGGTTAACCTCAACCAAACAAGTATGAGATGCCCAGAGAGAGAAGGGCCCAATCACCGCGGTGCAGCCAGTCAGTTGTATGAAGGGACATCAGGCCTGCGACTGAGACCACCTGAGGTGTGACCTGCTCGCAGCAGCTCCTAAACCAGATGGAGAGACAGGGCCAGGTCACAACCGTCAACGTGTTTGTGGCTGGCCCATCAATTCTGCCCAAAGAGAACAGCTCTACCTCTGCGGAGGGGAGGGAGGGAGCGCCCCATCAGAGCTTAACACAGGCCTCTGGCCCAGGCCCTGTCTCCGAAGGAATGTTCCACCTGTGACTTCAGGAATGAAGACTCACAACTCAAGCCCCAGCTGGCAGGAACTGAACAAGACAGATGTGGGGAGTTGTCTGTGCTGAGGTTAAAGACCCTACCACAGCCACATGTGGCAGCGACTACCAGTGGGGAGACACATCTGAGGGGTTTTATCACCTGAACTTTTGTGCAAAGTTCTGAAGATGAAGAGTAGACATTAATACCACTGATGTTTATAATGGGGGACCGGACCAAATCTGTACACATTTCAATTAAAACCTGACCTTACAAGTCAGGTGCTTAAGTCCAGGTACACTAGAAAAGTAACATCGAGACGAGCCTCCAAGGAGACAAGCTGTCTGGGTGGCCGTCTCACTGCCAAAATAAACATGTGTGTCACAACGCTGCCCATGACCCATAGTCGGGCTGCCTAAAACACAACGTTCTGTTCCAGGTGCCTGCAGCAGGCCCAGGGCCACGTGGGATCAGATCCCATGTCATGTGAGGAATGCAGGAGGAGAAGAAAGGGCCGCCATCTCTCCCCTCCCGGCACCAAGATCTGCCTGCCACGGCAAAGCAGGGTCAGACGTGCACGGGATGTCACAATGCCAGAGAGACCAACTGCAGCGGAGTGTGCAAGAACTTTCTGTCAGGAGCTGCCTTGGAGGGTGAATTCTGGCCACTAGCGGTGTGTGAGGTGCAGCTGGTGACCACCAGCGATTATGGAGAGGGTTCCTTCCCAGGGACAGTGTGCACCCAAGGCCCCTGAAGCTCTCCAAAGCGCATGAGAACAACTAAAAGTCACAAGACATCTGACCCTAAATTTACAGTCTTCCCAATATTGAGACCCTGGGAACTACCTATCTGAGGCAAAATGGGCGAATTTGCATCTCTGTTTTTCCCAGTAGCTCTTCTGGCTCTTAAAAAGTGGCTCAAGGACCCCGGGTGGGTGACAGCAGGGGGCATCCACTGCCTGGAACAAGCTCCAAGGAGCAGCTTCCAGTTCAACAAAAGTCCTGCATCCCAGCCAGTATGGAGGGCAAAGAAGGGCCACTGACAAACAGCATCTTGCCTTCCCAGCGAGCCCCATCTTTTAGAGGCACCACTGAAGCAAGGAAAAACTCCTACGCTCTGAACTCTCCACATGGGTCGAAACCAGTCGAGAAAAGAGGCGGGGGGCCGTGGGAACAGGAAGGGAATGAGGACTCACGAGCAGGAGACCCACTTCTCCACTGGGTTCTTCTGACTCTGTGCTACCGCAAACACAGGTAACCACGTGTGAGGAAGCCCCTTGTCCTCTCTGGGCCACCTCTCTACAACGAAGGAGTGAGGCTACATGAGCTCCGACAGCTTACCCAGTACTTTCCATCTGAGGGTTAGTGAGCCCAGGCTGGAAAGCGGTCAACCTCATCTTCCCTCACTGGGTGGCTAAAAAAACTCCCACCTCCTGGGTCCTGGGTTGTGCCACCTCGTCAGCTGTGTGGACTACCTACTTCTTATCAGGGTGACTAAGTGCCACAGTCCGATCCAACCTGCAGATGGTGCTTGTAAGCGTTAAGGAGTGGTTGATAGCATTAAATAGGAGTACTCCTGCCCAGCTTGTCCACAAGGCACTCAGGTTTTGTACAAGCGTCCCTAAATGCCTTCCCTTTCCCATTCCGTCTCAGTCCCAACTTCAGACACAGCTGTGTAGAATCCAGAGTGCTCAGAGGACACCTGTGAAAAGATTTTCCAATCTGCCCACACCCATTCCTTTATTACCCATGGCAATGAACCAGTCCCACCCTCTACAGAGGCCCTGGAGTGCTTTAAGAATAAAACGCAAGAGCTCTGCCACTTACTTCCGGCTCTGGGCAGCTCTTCTTTCTGCCGAAGACCCCGAGACGTACTTGAACATGGAGAGCCTCTTCATCAGGCTGAAAGGGAACTTCTGATCGAGTTTCAGTGCAACCCGCTCTGAGATGTCGAGGGAATAGCAGTAGGTGAGGCCATCTGAGGTTGACATATTAAGTAAAAACGAAGGCAGCAAGAGAGCAGGGCTGAATGATCCTCATGGAAGAACACAAGTCCCCATACTTACTCTACAGAGGCATTAAGGCTCATCCCCCACAAGCTCCGGTTGGAGTTTCCAGCTCAGGGAAAACCAAGACTCCAGAGTTTCCATCTACTGTACCTCACAGTCGAAACACAGTCCAGCAGCAGGGGAGGCAGGGGGGTGTTGCCTTTTCACCCTCCCCTAGGCCAACCATCCCATCTCTTGAGCCCTCTAACCACTGCAATCATAGTCAGAAGCCAGCACACACCTCTGTCCTTGTGGTGGAGGGAAGCAGGAGGCTGTTCTAGCACCCTCCAGAGGGACTGATACTGTCTTGTACTCTGAGCCCAAACAACAGGCACCGCCTCAATGTGACCAAGTGAGCTTCACGTGGGCCCCTTCGGCGGCACTTCCTCCATACCGTCACCATGCCCTGACGGCATCCTGGTCAGCTGACCTGCCAGCCCACCACTGCCGAGGTAGCCACAGATTCAGACTTCATTTATTCACGTAACCTTTCCACAAATACTTGTTGGATATCTGTTCTACGTCTAGACTAGGAATAAGTAATGGGGTTGAGTAAGTGGTGGTAAGCAAAAGCTTATGTACGGAAGCCAGGCTGGGGACCTAACCTAGTCTGGGGAGACTGGAGAAGGCCTTTCCCTGAGGAAGTGATGTGGACTCGGACTCCCAAGTTGTGAGCAGCATGAGCTAGATGAGAGAGGCAGTGGAGACAGGCCGTAGGAAGCGTCAGCAAGAGAAACGCGCTCCTTGAGGCTGTGTTCGGAACTGCAATGCAACTGGCATTTTGAGCAAGACGGTTCTTTGCTAAGCAACGTCTCATTCACTGCAGGATGTTTAGTATTCCTGGCTTCCAGACATGAATGGCAGAGGCACCTAATTGCTGTCATAACTGAAAAGGCCTCTACCTATCTCTAAACTCTCCCAGGAGAACATTTCCCAATCCTGATTCCAGGTGATAGCCAATGCTGCAAGGGACTCAAAAGTTGTCATGGCTTCCGACTTCAGAATGATCTCAAGACTCTACTCCACCTCTGACTCTGGTGAAGTGATAATATTAGGCTAGTCCTCCCACCATTAATTACTATAAACCAGGACAGTATATAGTAGCAACTGTGTGTGGACTCTGAACGACAAATACTGCCACGGGACCAAAGTCCAACGGTGGGAAAACAAATGAACTGAGCCCCGAGATCAAACTGGCTTTCCACCTGCAGGCACTCTCCATACTGCAGCGGGAGCACAGCGTGTGTTGCGAACTGGGGAGACGGATGAAGAGGTTGGGAAGGATGAAGTGGGCTGGGATTTGCAGGTCGGTGATGGAGAGGAGGCTGCTGCTTGAAGAAGGAGCTCTAGAAGTCTGCATAGGAATGCCCTGCATCTTTAGCTGAATACCAGTTGTATACCTAACCCTGAATTATACCCCACATCTTTAAAATTAAAAATTGGTTTTAAAATACAAAAATTAGCCAGGAAGTGGTGTGTACCTGTAGTCCCAGCTACTAGAGAGGCTGAAGTGGAAGGACTGCCCAAGTCCTGGAACTCACACAGGCACATACTCAAGTTCCAACCAGACTGAAGAGACCTCAGTGAACACCCCGGGCATTCAGAAGAGATCTCCAGAAAGGCAATTCCTTGAAAATAAGGCTAAGCCAGCCACTGAATAAAGGCTACTTAAGAATCTCCCTAAAATAGATGAAAAACAAACCTAAAGTTTAAAGCCCATCTTCAAGTAAATTAACTGCTTCTCAAAACTCAACATTCCTTAAAGAAAAACAACAAATCCAGCCCTCAATAACACGCATTCACAATTCAGGGTCAGGTATATAAATGTTCATTATGCAGGTACCCTTGTTGATGAGGTGTGCTCCCCCCAGCCCCTGGCAATTTCCCACTACTGCCAATCCTGCATCCCCCTTCCCCAGCAGTTTTTGTGTTTTTTGTAAAGATGAAGTCTTGTTATGCTGCCCAGGCTGGTCTCAAACTCCTGGGTTCAAGTGATCTTCCCACCTCAGTCTCCCAAAGTGCTGCGATTACAGGCATGAGCCACCGCACCCGGCTTAACACTACTAACTCTGATGTTTAAAAAAGTAACTCCACTTTGTATTTAAATTTTTTTCCTAATTGTCATAATATTTATACAAAGGCCGTAAGGCATATCTGAAGTTTTTAACCATCCATATGGTAAAAGCCTATCTTTCTTTCATTTTTCTTTTCTGAGAAAAGGACCAAGCCTAACAAAAACAAACCAATCTGCTTCCTATTCTTTTCATGGAATATCTCCAACTTATGGTTAACTCATATTCTTCCAATGAAAACTCTTATCGTAATTAGTCAAATATAGGCTTACACCTCAGCTTACAAGAACAAAAACTCAAATCAGCACATTTCATTAATTGCCAGTGCTAAGCTGGTATGACGAAACAACTATGCTGATATTTTTCAGATGAAAAAATTCTGGTCCAGAGGGGAGAGGTGAACTGCCTAAGGCTACATGATTTTCATAACTGAAACTGGAACCTAGGTCACCCACATCTGAGCCCAAGACTCTACTTGATACCCCAGACCTTCCAACCTGGTTCACCCTCATCATCCCACAAAACCCTTCTAGGAAGGATACATGACAGTCCAATCCCAAGTCCACAGACATTACTGAGGAAAGAGGTCTGTGGAATGAGCCAGGAGGCGCCCAGCAGGAGCCACGGCACCAGGACTGAGGGCACAACCATGCCAAACACCAGGGCCCGCCTCATCCGAGAGCGGACAGTGGTGACTCCCAGCATGGCAAAAGCCACTGGGGTGAAACCTCTGGCATCTTCCACCTGCCCCAGCTTTGAGAGCGATGACACAGCCTCAAATGACAGGAAGATAATAGCAGAGAAGATGGTGAAGATCAAGGTGAAGAAGCAGTGACGGACGGTGCCCACGGTTCTCTCAAAATTGCCAGCAAAACGCCAGATGATGATGGCACCGCAGAGCAGGGAGATCGGATTCTCATAGACAAAGATGTAGGTCACCAGTCTGTAAACTGAAGAGGGAACTGGGTTAGAGATCTGATGGTGGGTTGCTCCAAGCAGGGAAAGCCAGGTTACCTAGGAAGGGCAGAGTACTGAGAGCCAGTGAAAATCAGCAACAGGGGCAACAAAGACCCAAAGACTCAAAGTAGAGGCCTGAATGTCCAATCCCTGCTCTTTCCCAGACCTGGAGCAAGTCTTATCAGTAACTGACTTCCACGTGGGGGAAAAAAAATACTTTTTGGCATGGAGTGGTCTCTGAATTTGTAAAGTGCTTTATACTCCTCCTTTAGGTTTCGATACTGACCTACCTCACTGGGCAGTTTGAGGGTTAATTAATTGAGTGGGTGTCACTTAATACTCTGTGTGCCAGTCTCCTCAGCTGTAATCCTGACCTCTCCTTCCACAGTGGCTGTTCAGAGGAAGAAAAAAATGGACCATGAATTATTTCATAGCTATAAGGATTAAGGATTATAAGACTATCACCAATAATATAGATACAGAAATCAGAAGTCTTCCTTGAAAGTACTTATTCAATCTTATAGGTAGGGTGATATATATTTTTTTTTTTAAGTCTCACTCTGTCGCCCAGGCTGGAGTATAGTGGCACAATCACGCTACTGCAGCCTCAACCTCCTGGGCTCAAGTGATCCCTCTGCCTCAGCCTTCCAAGTAGCTGGGACTATAGGCACATGCCACCCCACCAGCCGAGTTTTTTGATTTACTGTAGAGACGAGGCCTCGCCATGTTGTCCAGGGTGGCCTCAAACTCCTGGGCTCAGGCAATCCTCTTGCCTCAGTCTCCCAAATTGCTGGGATTGTAAGTGTGAGCCACCATGCCCGGCTACAGTGATGCTTTATGTGCAACAAGACATCGAGAATCCTGTTTTTATTTTTCTAAAAGTGGTTATCTCTAACGTACTTTAATGTCCCTGTAGTCCAAAAACAGTACGGAATTGAAAGAGGGAGACCAATGAAATGGCAGCGATATGGACTTGGGAGATGAAACACTTGGAGATCGTATCCAGGCTAGCTGAAAACAGTCACGTCACAGGTCTCGGTGTCACTTTCTTCGTTGTAAGGGAGCAGCAGGGTTAGACTAGAGGGCTTCGAAGGTCCCTTATATATCGAATGCTCACATGCCCATGGAACCCACACCCAGGGAAGCTGTGAACGAAAGACAACAAGGTTAAGGTTAGGCGGACACTGCTTCTGTCTGTGAGGAGGTGCTGTATCTAGGGTGGTGGGAACGGTTTTAGATACAAGGTGAGAAGCAGGCTGTGGAACTATATACCTCAGTCCGGACGTCCCCGGAAGGCTTCATTATCTGAAGAGTACTTCATTACTGGTTGAGTGTTTCCCAAACTGAAACTCCAGGTATAGATGTGAAAAGATTCTAGAATGTTCTATGACTTGGAGATCATACACCTCAAGGCTCTAGTCCTAAAACGTCCCACGCTAAAAAGGAAAATCTGGGCTCCTGTCTCCATTGTATGACCTCATAGCTCTGCAGTCCTCTGCATTAAGCCGCCATCTTACCCAAATAATGGGCAATAATAACACCTGCGTCATGGATCATGGCGACCGAGGCTAAAAGCATGTGCGTGTGCTTTGCAAGACGGGAAGAGCCACACAAATTTCCCGGATTCCTCCCGCGACAAGGACGAAGAAGCAGACCGTAGGGATGTCTTTTATTAACGGACGTTTATGCCTGCCTGGCCTGCAAAACTTCTCTCCCCGAGGACACAAACACCTCTCTCCAAAGGCAGAAGACGCTCCCCTCCCCCCGTGAGCTGGGCATGGCAGTCGGGAGGCAGATGCAAACGAAGACGCAGAAGACATTCCGCGTCTCAGGAGCCCGGCACGCGCGTCCAGGGCTCCCAGGGGTTTACAGACAAAGCTCGGCGGTCGCGACGAAGACGAGGGGGAGACGTTTGCCGGTGGGGCTCGGGCCTAAGGCAGCCACAGGTGCGCGCGCGAGGTGGGAGGGGCGGAAGAACCTTCCTTGGGGTCGGGGAGCGCGCGGGGGTTTGCCCGCGCATGGAGCTGGGGCCTCGCGCGCTCCGGTGGCGACGCCGAAGGGAGCAAATTCGGGCAGGGCTGGGGCCGCGGCGATGACGACGACGGGGGGGCCCCACGGAGACAAAGACGCGGGACACCGGGGGGCAAGAGACAGCGCGGGAGGCCAGTCCTCCGGGTGGCGAGAACGGCGATGCGGACGGGGACGGGGAC